GACCAATTCATCGCCTCTGGTCTTCTTCCAGACTTAGTCATTTCAGCAACCTCTGGTCCATCGCCTGCCTCTGGACCAATTCATCGCCTCTGATCTTCTTCCAGACTTAGTCATTTCAGCAGCCTCTGGACCAATTCATCGCCTCTGGTCTTCCTCCAGACTTAGTCATTTCAGCAGCATCTTCAGATTTTCCATCCTTGGCCCCGATTGCTTTGACAAAACTTTTAGAATAATTAGGATCAATTTTGGTCCTAATAATCAATAAATTATATTTTATTGGAGATTTTATAAAATTGGTAATTTGGGGATTGCTCAAGCGTGATGTTACACAGGTAGCCCGGAGTCACCGCATTTGAACCTTCGTGGCTACAAGGGGATTTTTATTTCTCCTTGGGTTTGAACCTGGAACCTCCTGGTACTTTTGACTTTTGGAGCCAAGCTCAAACGAATCAGGCACCACCATTGTGGTTAAATATAAACACATTAGTAACTACCTAGGTGGACCAATTAATCAAGCATCTTGATAAATATAAACACATTAGTAACCAGCTAGGTGGACCAATTTATCAAGCATCTTGATAAATATAAACACATTAGTAACNATCAAGCATCTTGATAAATATAAACACATTAGTAACCAGCTAGGTGGACCAATTTATCAAGCATCTTGATAAATATAAACACATTAGTAACTAGCTAGGTGGACCAATTCATCAAGCATCTTGATAAATATAAACAGATCAAGAGTCCTGTTAGGTATTTTATTTTGTTTGTAATAAATTAGAAGGGCTTAAAATGTAAATACCGTCAAGGTATATATAGTTTCCCTATTTTCTAGAATAGGTCAAGACTTTCATTGTATTCATCAGGTAATCTTTTAGAGTGCCATCTGTGGCATAGAAAACATTGTATTCCATATTTTGATCAATAGACAAGTCGATAGATTTGATTTATTGCGTGTTACTGTTTAATTGCATTATTCTTATATTAATATGGGTAATCAACAAGTCCTATCACATGTCAATCATGACCATCAAGAAAAACAAACACACAAGTTCATGGTGGTTATCAGGGCTGTCGCCCAAGCCAACATAGGCCCAACCCTTAAACTTGTCATACTAGGCTCAAATCGACGCTCTTGAATCCACTCGAGTATCTGCTCTCCTCTCAGCCTCTGGCTCTCGGCCTCTTACGGTTTCACCTTGCTCTTCTCTACCGTTCTACCCCTCAACCTTTCGGCCTCTCATAATATGCCCTAATTCCTTTCTTTGGCCAAGTATTTTCTTTTCTAAAATTAATTACATATTAGGCTAATAACGTTAGTAGATTACTCATTAGAATATTAGGTTATTTGCCTATTTGAGTATTTGACTATTRGGTTATTTGAGTATTTGATTACTTGATTATCTGCCAATTTGAGCACATGGAACCACAAAAAGAAAACCTGTTGAAGCAGTTTTTTGATTTGTGGCTTCATAATAACTAACCTATTTTTTTGAAGCATTAATTGTTTCCTCATAAAGGTCATTGCTAGCAGTAATACTAGTCTTTCCAAAACCAAGAACCTGAAATTGCTTTTCTACATTGTGAAAGAACTTTGTGGCTTCGCATGACAGATAAGCAAGATCACCAGAAGATTAAATAAATAGTACTAATACAACCACAAATTAATCTATAGATTCAACTCAACTTGGTAATCATAAATCATGATATCTTGACTTAGAGTGCTGAAAAGGGATAGTGAAACGATTGCATATTGATTTAACTTCACCACAATATTAAGGACCGACTGATAGTTCTAAGCATTCATCAAAATGCAAGCACTTACATGAAGGAATATGTCAATTATGCATGATTAAAACGTTAAAACATACACCATGTCATTAATTTAGTGCTAGAGCAATAACACAAAAATTAGGAACACCACTCCTCATGACGTTCATATGAAACCACAATACTAGTAATATGATTGATGTTAATTAAATCATCTGAATATGTGGAGATCAGGAAGCACAAAAGCAACTATTTAGTAGAATTGGTAGTCATAGAAGAAAATGTGTAACTTTAGGCTCATTATGAGAAGCAATTGCTCAGACTTGGAGGAAAAACATTTACTTTAAATTACATGCTTCCAAGATACATTCAAAGAAAGCTAGGAATCAAATATTGTGCAACAACTAAACAAATAAATATGTAACCATGATATCAATTGAGAATAAGAACACCCAGAGCCGGTCCTGGGGTTTCTCATACCCCGGACGAAAAGGTAAAATAATGCCCCTACTATTTAAAAATTACAAATGAGACATACTAATTTTTAAAAGGTTCCAAATCTATCAAGCTAGGCATCTCATACCTAAGCCAATTTTTGTTATTGTTATTGAATGATAATGTATTTTTTGTAATACATATCTTACAATTATATAATATCATAATGTAATATCAAGTTAAATTGAACTTTTAGAAACTTGCATATAACAATAGTTGTGCTCAAACTTATTGTATACAATCATATCAAGATGTTTAATTTGTCTTAAAACTTAGGAGAACTTAATAATATACGTGTATCATATTTTTAAATATCTAAACATTCTTGAGTAGCGAGTATTATGTAGTTTAAACAACTATATATAGCCTTAGGCAACAAACCACATTATGAGTGACAACAAAATTGGAATTACGAGATTCAACATCGAATCAAGAAATATAATACAAATAACAAAAAAATTTCGAGAATCATATTTATGACTATGGAAATCACAAAAAAATAATTGAAATTATATAGTAATCTAAATTATTTCATACATGGTTTGATTTTAGAAAATATAACAAAAGATATTTGTGGTTCCGAATTAAAATTAGCTAGTCTTCTAAATTGTTTTATGTATAGTGTGATCCTATTAATGATTTTCAAAAGAAAATACATAGAAAATATTAATTGTTGAATATGATTAACTTTATTTCAGATAAATAAATGTTTCCATAAAAGGAACACAATATTCAAAAAAAATGAAAGGAAAAAAAATGAAATTACGAGAAAACTAATAAAATTAAAATAAGAGAAAAAATATCAAAAGAAAGTGTTCATGTATGCTTGAGGTTTAGACTTCGAGTCTTTTAGTTGCTACTTTGCAACTTCTTTATTAGCAATTAATAATATTACTAAGCTTAAATTGATGCTCCTTGATCTTTAATGCCTTGAGTCGTCACCCTTTGGACCGGCCCTGAGAACACACATGGAAATTTTATGGCTTGCATCATATGGAAATTTTAATCTTCGAAAACCATTAAGATAAATAAAAATGGAAGAACAAGTGTCCCATGATGAACAAACTCAAATTTCTCCACATATATTATTATATAACAAAGGTTAGCATTTGATGATGGTATTTGAAAGGACATTAAACTAAGAAACAAATGCCAATCAGGCATTGCTTCATTTGATGGTAACACAACACTAACAAAGAGAGAGTTGGCATCTTTTCTTGGACAGCCTAGCTACCCACATGCCCCCCCTTTTCATTCTTTTATAAAACAGCTCAGCCTCTACAAACCTCTCATTGTTTTTCCCACAAACTTATTTCTTAAATCTTTATTCACTTCTTCCCAATCTCCAATCATTCTCCCTCTCTCTCTCTCACAAGGTACTCTCTCTCTCTCTCTTTCTCTCTCTTCCTTCTCTTATGAGTATGTATGTGTTAAGATTGCTGCTCATGCCATTTGTTCATATGTTAAGTCATGAATCATGTTGAAGATTGTTCCCTTAATTTGTGGCTCTCCCCCCCCCCCCCCCTTTTGGGTATATGTATGTGTCAAAAGATTGCTGTTTATGGTATCCATCTTAGTTGAATGATGTTGGAAGATAGTTTCCTTGTGGATCTCTCTCTCTCTGTCTCTCTTTCATAACGTGTATTTGTATGTAAAGATTGTTGTTGTATGGTATTTGCTCATATCTTTTGTGATTAATGATGTTGGAAGTTAGTTCCTTTGTGGGTCTCTCTCTCCCCGTCTCCACTCTGGTGTATTCATATGTGATTAAAGATCGTTGTTGTGTGGTATTTATTCATCTTTTATTCTGAAACATAACTTTGAAAATTAGTTTCCTTCATCTGGGTCTCTCTATCTCTCTTTGTTCGTGGTATTTGATAATCTTTTAAGCTTGTTTCCTTTGTAGATCTCTCTCTCTTGGTGTGTGTGTGTGTGAAAAGATTGCTGTTTATGGTATTTGATCATCTTTTATGTGAGTTCCCTCTGTGGGTAGCAATTTCTCTCAAATACAAACTAAAAAGAAGTTGAGATATTTCTACTTTTTATGCATATGATGAAGTAGTTTTAATCTCTCTTTGTTTTCTTGTTTTAGAGATTAGGGTTATAGGCCATGGCTAGTGAGGCACCAAGCTGGGCAGATCAATGGGGTGCTGGTGGGATTGGTGCTATCGAAGAAGAAAAGGTCGATCCCAACAAAGAAACCAACAACAACAAAAACAACAAGGGCTCAACGGCATTTGGTAGAGCGAATTCGGTAGCCAAAGAGGGAGCCAAGAAACTCAAGAACGGGACGTCGAATGGGATCAAATGGATCAAGAACAAATGCCAAAAGAAGAATTCAAACTCAGATTTAAAAGAATAGGATTCCTTTTTGGGCATTTTGATTTATAACAAGATTGTATCATCAAGATCCCATATTTGTATTAATTTGTTAAAAAGACAAAGAGTCCTTTTTTTTTATTTTCCCATGCTTCGTTTGATTGATTACAGATGGACATTATATTCGATTGATGTTTTATTTGTAGTAGTGTGAAATGATGAAAATACCCTTATGAGTACATAAATAGGTAGACCTTTAAGGTCAAGTCACAAACTGGGTGGAGTTTTGTTGAGATTTCGTTATCGTAACTGATATCCATTTTTTATTGAATTTGTAATAATTATGTTGTATTCTCTCAAATTATACTTTTCCGTTTATATATTTTTCATACCATTGCGTATCGTTTTCGCATGGTTTTGTATTTGAAATTCCTCTAATTTTATATATCATGGTCCTAAATGACGTAAGAGAGGTGGCATGGGTGCTATATCAAGCTTCAATCTTTATAAGCTACAATGAAATCATAACTATAGTTCAAAGCAATATGTATATGCGTACGTGTTTGTTTTTCATAACTAATTCAATGATATGAAATGATAAGTAGATAACGAAAGATCGTTTAAGAAGAAATGTAAGAAGAGACCTAGACTCTTGATCACTTTTAATCTCAAATTCATCTGTGAATCATGCTTGATACGAGGATTGATCCGGTACATCTAATTATAATGTACATTCAATAATGGAGATCCCTTCTTACGCTTCTTAACTTAACTTTTATTCTCAATGGAACCCAACCCATGAAGTGATTTAAATTCACGTAAAATGAAGAAAAATAGTATATTAAAATGTAGATCATTCAAATAAAATAAAACTTAAAAGTTTTAATTATTAAAAAGAAAGTCAAAATGGTATAAAAAAACACTTGTCTTGGTGCGACATAGCATCCCACCTTAAACAGACACGATTAAGGTTAACATGAGTGGAAGGCATGTTTTGCAGCCATAGCATCAGCACTTGTATTACAAATATTTAAGCACAACCCAACCCAACCTAATCCATGTCACTGAGTTGGTTTGGTTGAGTTGTGACATATAATAACAATAAGAAAAAAATTAAAGATTTTCCAAATAGAAAGTAAATTACGGGTAAAATTGTTATACACTTGTTAAATTAACTAACCAGATGTCTATCACAAACTATGTAGATCAAAGGCAAAACTAACAACACATCTAGTAAAAAATGTTTACAACATATAAGGGATCGTTTACCTAAATGCTTACCCGGTAAGTGTTTACCGTTAGGATCCAACACTATAATTTATTTTACCGGGTAAGATTGTAGGACATCAAAATGGTATCATATGCAACAATTTACCCGGTAAGCACTTACCCTTGTAAGAGTCGTCACCCTCACTTACCGAGTAAGACTCTCCATCTTTATCTTTGCTCTTACCGGGTAAGATTTTTGACCCTTGCCTTGTTCATCCGATAAGGAAAATTACCCGATAAGGAAAAACATAACATATAAATTATAATAGGAATATGAGGTTCATCAAATGAGGTAATTAATGGGATTAACAAATAAAATATAACATTTAATTTTATATAATATTATAAACTCATTTTCCATACACCTAAATTTTCATTTAAAAGTTAAATTAGCAAAAAAATAAAAGTTAATTATCATCTTTTATTTCTGTTTCCACAGAACCAAGCTCTAAAAGATAGAAGTGTATGAAATAGGAGAAGTTAAAACCACCAAAAAGATGGGCCATTTGCTTACCTATTTGGGCCAAATTCATGGCACTAACTTATTCACCACTTGTAATTATTTTGTTGGTCTGAATCCACCCTGATAACTAGAAACAACTAGTGTTCAAAACCGTGGACGATAACGATAAAACAAATTGAATATATATGGTTGATAATCATATGTTAGATATTAAATTAATATAAATCGATAGTACATATGATACGAAGTTGTTTTTGTCATATCCTCAGTTTTATATATATATATATATATATATATATATAAATTAATCATAGTAATTGATCATGTTGTTTGTATAAATGTTTGTTCTGTATATTCTTGAGTCATTCTATTTTCTTCTTTATAAGGTGTATTATCACTTTTTTGTTCTATATTATTAATTTTTTCTATTAAATTTATTAATAAATTATCCATGTATGTAACTTTTTTTTTCTATATTATTTAGTTTTAACTTATGTAATTCGGTTACTATTTCAAGTTTTTCATTATATACTTCAGTGTCAATTCCTTTCTTTTTAATGTCTTTATCTGTATTTAATTCATATATATATATATATATATGAGCGATTAAATGAAAACCACCCTCATTTATGTAAACCAATCTCATTCATCCATTTTCTTGATCAGGTCAAGATTAGTTTAGTTTATTTTAGGAAGTAAAAAATATATATATTAAAAATTTTATTTTATAATAACGAGAAGGGCAAAATAGTACACCCAATCACATCTTAAATCTCATGAACCTGTTTCATGAAACATTTTCACTATTCATCATGCATCTTAAACCTCATCACGGACCCATATCCTCATGCACCCTATTCATCATGCACCAATTTCATCATGCACCCATTTCATCATGCACCTATTTCATAATCATTTTCACTTACTCTATGCACCAATTTCACCATGTACGGAACCGGTTTCATCATGCACTCATTCCATAATCATTTTCACTTACTCCATGCACCAATTTCACCATGTATGAAACCGCTTTCATGAATATTTTTTTATTCTACTACTGATTTCCTGGATTTATTACTCTAATAACATACGATTTTCATGAATCTTGACAATAATAAATCGAAAAACAATATAACAAAATCCAATTTTATGCATATTATAATTTAATTAAATATTTAAATGTAACTATTTATAAAATTTCCTTTATTATGTTGCCTTAATTAAGATTTATTAATAACTTCCATATTTAATAGAAAACAATGCAAATGACCAATATACCCTTAATGATTAAATTTAATTAGAAAAAAAAAAGAAATTTTTCTATTGGTCGAAATTAGTTTACACGGTTTTTAAGAATTGCATGATTTTCATTTGAACATGCATATATATATATATAGGGGTTGGTTCAAATACTAACCAGGATTATCGTGTTAACTTTGTTAACCGATCTTGGTCGTTGATTTGAACATCCAACGGTTGTCATTTATTGAGACAAAAAATTTAATTATTTAATTACCATATTAATAAAAAAATTAGGTTCACAATGGTTCAGAGGGTAGAATTGTAAAAAGTGAATAATCTTAACGTATTCTATTTTGTCAGCTTATTCTGTAACTTCCAATCAATAAAGAAATCGTCAATCTCTTCGATCAATATCTTAAATCAGTAGCTAAAAATTAGGTTCATAATCTTCATCAAAACAATGGAGGATTTGGAAGGATTACCAGGCGCCGACATCCAGATAAGATTGAAACATGTGTTTGAACCTAATGAACAATTGAAAAATTAGGTTCATAATCTTCATCAAAACAATGTSTGAACCTAATGAACAATTGAAAAATTAGGTTCATAATCTTCATCAAAACAATGTGTGAACCTAATGAACAATTGAAACATGTGTGTAAACCAAATGGACATATTGTGTGAACCAATTGAACACATATGTGCATGAGTGAACACATATGTCGACGTTTGAGTGAACATGTGCGTGAACGGTTTGATCATTTTCTTCACTTTCGGAATTCGAATTCCGAATGTATTCGTAGATGTTTTTAACTTTTTCATTCTTATTGTCGTCGATCTGTTTTACTCTATGATTATCCATATTACTCGAACTATAACGAAATCTTTACAAAAGGGACTTTTTTGAAATTTACAATATCAAAACCATTGTAAGAAGAATGAAATGTAAAAATCAGTAAGATGAACAAATGTGAAACATCATGTCATTATTACATGAAGATCAATTAGTGATATTTTAAGATTTGTAACTCCCAAYTAAAATATTGGGGAGTTACATAAAAATGACAAATTACSTAAATACCCTTACACTTAATATGTGAGTTATATTTGAACCTAACTAAAAGATGGAACATGATTGGTTGATGTTGGTTAGCATAGTTAACACAAAAAAATGGGTTAGTATTTGAACCAATCTCTCTCTCTCTCTCTCTCTCTCTCTCTATATATATATATATATATATATATGAGCGATCAAAAGCAAATCACCTAATTTTTACAAACCGTGCAAACTACCCTCATCCGTCGATTTCATTGTTTAATTTTATGAAATTTTTTTTTCATGAAATCGATGGATAAGAGTGGTTTGCATGGTTTGTACAAATTTGAAGGTTTGCATTTGATCGCTCCTATATATATATATATATATATATATATTACTAGAAGGATACCCACGCAATGCAGCGAGATACATTTTGATTTTAACATTTCATTTTATTATTTATCTCAGTCGATGTTATAATATGATCTTATGTGATTTTGAAAAGGCGATGATGTTTTTATTTTTTTTAATAAAATATAAGTTTAAAGATATCATAAAAATTTGACAAAAATATATTAATATCATATCAAGTTAACTAATGAAAATTCCTTATTTTTTGTGTAATTTTTTAATTCAAATTTTTATTATAATTTAGTTTTGGTTCAATAACGAAGTAACTTATATTTTGGTTTAATAACATAATTTTCTTATAAAGATAATAATTAATTATTTTGTTAGAACTCGATAATTATTTTAATTATATATTAGATTTTTTATATTTTAAAATGAGATATTTATCCGCAGTTAGTTACACGAATTCAAACATGGAGCTTTAATAAGTTGTACTTATGCATAATTTACTTGTAATATTGAATTTTAAGTAATATGCATCAATATACAGTACTTTATGCATAAAAAATGGTTTTTAAGAGTTTTTGTCAAATGTTTTATAATATATTATAGATATATATAGACTTGAGATCATGTGAGACCAGCATATTTTCGTGAAATTTGTGAGACCATTTTTTTACAATTGAAAATTCATAGCAAAACACTGTGAAGATAACATTCACAGTGTTTTTGTTGTGAAGGTTCGAATGTTTTTATTTTCATAGTGTTTTGCTATAAAGTTTTTAGTGTAAAAAGTAGTCGTCTCACGTAAACAACCTAGGCTCACATGAACTCGACCCTATATAGAGAGAGATCAAATACAAACCATTCAATTTATACCAACTTTGTAACTTTTTTCATCCAACCAAAATCATTCATTGTTTTTTCTTTTTATTTATTTATTTATGAGGTTATTATTGTCA